CAAAACAAACTTTTATTTTCGGGGTCTGGGTGCTGAAAAAATAGGTTTTCGGTTTTCCAAAGATCCTGGTTTTGGAGAATAAGATGAGAATTTCATCTTTCTGGGACCTTTGTTGGAAACAATTTTCTCTATCCAAATCACTATTTGGAATCTTCATAAGAGTTACGATTAGGGAAAAAAATCGAAATTACATCTATATGAATAATTTTGGGAGCCACTGTATGTATAGACTAACGATGAAGACAGTGAACATATGATGATCTTAGATCTCATTTGAATTCTTTCGATTGAAAAAAGTTTATTTCAAGAAAATAGTTGAATTTTATCAAATATGATTAAACTGTAAGAGCTAAGCCTTCCTCAAACGAAAATTTCGACAAATCTCCGATAGGTTCGAATTTGTAAAACGTTCAGTCTATTTTTATAAAATTTAGTTATTTTTTTTTTGCCATGGCGTGAACCGAATAAATTGAAATTAGTTCAAGACCATCACTCATTCACCATCTTCATCCTAAGTTTATACGTACATGTTTAGATCCATATAAATCTGTACGTAAGACAGGTGTATCCATAGTGTTGGAGGGACTATTTTTTATGTAGAAGTCCAGTATTTAAGTTGTTAATAGAAAAGTGAAGAGACATTTTCGACGCACAATGCTACTAGAGATAGTTTCGAAAGTCTAATATTTTCTTCTAAAATCAGCAAGCTTTTTAAGGTAGGTATTCTAATTTTGAGCTGGATGAAATACTCAAAATCCTAAATAATTATGCATCATATCGAAATAATGCTTAATAAAATCGTACTTTGTGTTTTTTCGAAGACGAAATGAACAGATTATTTTTTCTTTTTGTTTTATACATATATATATTCATAGACACCACACATCATGGTATAACAACATTCCTACTCTATTTTTGTTAGTATCTTTCACTAGTATTATAGTATACAATCGTTAATTGATTTGTCTCTGTATGTTTTATATTTCTTCTTTCATTTCATATACATGATTCATTCTGATTGAATAAAATAAATTTCTTATTAAAATCTTACGACTCAATTATGACGTAAATGCTGGTGAAAACAAGACCCACACGTTTTTAAATGTTATAAGGTTTTAGTGTAGTTCGATTGCATGAAACTTGATAATAAAACGAGTATAATAAGAACATTTTGAATCATGACTCTTCTAACGTCTTGATGTCAAAATTCATCCGTTACTTATAAATCTACTGATTAAATTATGTCTAATGAGGTTTTAAGAAAGTCATTCTTATGTACTTATTTAGTTCTACGCAGATTCAAATTATCGATTGTAACATAGAATATACCGCCGCACTAATTTAGAGTTCTACTCATCCATTGACTGTCGTTTTCAACTATTTTCAGATCATTACAAGAGAAAATTAAGGCAATATATATATATATATCATTAATCTATTTTTGATACGAATTTTGAAAATAATCTATTACTTTTATATTTTATTAAATTTTAGGTTCGTAATGTTCAAGTACGTGGTGGTTACATTCTTCATGTTGGTGTAGTTGAAGGTACACTTTCTGTTAATGATAAAGTACGTTTAACAATTGATGATTTTCGTCGAAATTTAATTATGAAAAATCATACGGGTACACATATACTTAACTATGCTTTACGTGCTATACTTGGTGATACTGTTGATCAACGTGGTTCATTAGTTGCACCAGATCGTTTACGTTTTGATTTTAGTTCAAAAGGAGCAATGACACCTGATGAACTTAAACAAACAGAAGTCATTTGTAATAAAATGATTGAACAATCATTACAAGTTTATGCTAAGGATGCATCATTAGAAGAATCTAAACGAATTGATGGTTTACGTGCTGTTTTTGATGAAACATATCCAGATCCAGTACGAATTGTTTCGATTGGTGTATCAATCGATGATTTACTTAATAAACCACCTAAAGCTACTGGACGTGAATATTCTGTTGAATTTTGTGGTGGTACTCATTTAAAAACAAGCAAACATATTGATCAATTGATTATTGTTACCGAAGAAGCTATTGCTAAAGGTATTCGACGTATTGTTGCTGTTACTGGTCCTGAAGCAGAAAAAGTAAGATTAATTTGCATGAATAAAAATATCGTATTGATTAAAAAGTTATTAACTTATAGCAGTGTTTTGGATTTCGATAGTTTCTTGGAAAAAAAAACGTATTGATTATTTAGATTCTTCTTCAGTTGTCCCATACCGATTTCAATGATTTGTTGCCGTTAGATAATACATAGTGTTCTAATAAGGTCATTGAAATCGGAAGGATAGTCTTGAAGATGTTCCTCTCGTAAATTACACTCATTTAAATAGAGTTGTAAGGTAGTGAAGTGATTGGCTGCGGCACGGTTAGACTTCTTCAGCGTTGATAGCTCAGTCGATTGGCTTACATCTCTATTTGTGGAACAAACATTGATACTACTTTCCTATCTAACACAAACCATGACATTATTCTTAGTTAGACCCTCGTTATTTTTCGATTTCAAACTTGTTGAACCAGTATCGAAGATGAATCTGGTTTCATCTATTTGTCGAGTCAATATTCGAAGTTACTTAAATCTAACAACGCAATTACGAGACTCTAATGTGAGACAGTTCAGCGTTTTAATTCTCTCCTCAAGGTGTCTATCCTATGTTCCACATTCTAATATCTTCTTTCCATTACAGTATGCATTATATCCGAAAAGTTTTTATTCATATATGTTTACTATTTCATTCAAATTTATCAACTTACGAGGGAACCTCCCGAGGTGTAACCTCCCGCTTTGATTCATTTATATCTCATTTAAGTGAGCATATTGAGATAGTAAATACCCTAAAAGGATTTGGGTTCCTGCTTCTTCTATCAAGAGTTATGAACATTTTACTGAATTTCCTATCTATCC